ACAGTATTGTAAATGGAATGATAAAGTAGGCCAAAAGGATTGAGTTAATAGCTCAACCTACTTGAGCTCTTTCTCAAGTTTGATACCACATGGGTTCAATGCCCTTTGGCCACTTCCAGGAACTGGCCCACTTTCTTCCTGTTTGAACCCTGCCAGGAGAGTGAGATGAACAGGTGGGAGCCTTGCTTTTTTATTTGGGCCATGAAGATTTTGCAGAATAGAAGAATGGCCATGTTTTCTCATTTATGATCTGAGCATCTGCCACTAATTTCTCATGCTCGTCCCCAGAACTCCTCTTAGATATAAATCAAGGAACTGGACTGGAGTCCCTGTAGGAACAGGATGTTCTGGTAATCTGTTACCAACTGAGGAGTGTACTCTGTCTTGTCCAGGAAGCTTCCACTGCCATGCTTATGCTCCATTAGGAGGCTGCCTGCCTGACATCACCCACAGATGACTAAGCAAGATGGCCTCTCCCTTCCAAAGCTGTGCACATGGTGCATCCGGCCAGAGCTGGAAAATGAACAAATGTTTGCTCTTCATTAGACGGCATCATATTCCTCACAGCTGTTCCTTGTTGCCTGAAATAGTCTTAATGGAGCTGTGATAACCAGACACCTTCTGGTTGCCCTACTGGGCTCGTTCCATTCATTACTGCGACAGGCTGTCTGGGCTGGATGGGGATTAACACATTTGCCTTCTCTGTGTGTATCACAAAGTCACCTCTTTCTGTTCTCCCTCATCTTCCCCAAACCTGTTACTCTTCTGTTCACCACGGTCACAGGGCATGGAGACACCCCTGCTCTCTAGTTAACATCTGTTCCCATTGCTTGCATGCGATGACATCTTCTGTTTGTTTGCAGCTAGAAAAAGTGGAATCGTCTTGGCTAGGGCAGGGAGAACAGGAAAGAAGAAAAGGCTCTGGAGTTCATGACCATGTCACTGTCTTTGAAAGTGACAGTGTTCTATCACAGGCAGATTTGTGGGTCAGACAATAGACTGGGCAATGTGATGGTCTGTGGACACAGATATGGCCCACACGGGAAACTCCAAGGGTTTCCTAAGACTAGTGGGCAGTAATTTTTAAAGTATATTTTAATCAACTAGGACGCTTGTTAAAATCTCTGATCCTACTATAGCACATTTTGTTTTAATTGGTCTGAAATTTGGCCAGGGCACTGCTGTTTTAAAATTTTCCCCCCAGGTAATTCTAACCTGAAGCCAAGATTAAAAATCTCAGCTGGGACCCAGATATGCATGGCAAGGGAAGTTAATTCGCCTTAGCCCTTCTTGAGTTCTTTGAACTCTGGTCCATCAGCTAGATCCTGAGACAAAACCATGGGAGAGGGAGCCCAAGAGACTTCCATGGTAAGGAAACCCAATTAGTCTAGTCAAAAGGTTCTTATTTAGACTCTCATAATATTAGCTACACAAAGGACTCTAGGATTACCCTGACCAACTCACCAACCCACTCATCCTCAGTACATGAGGATAGAAATGAGACCCAGAGGCAAGGAAAGACTTGCTGTAGATCCCCTAATACTTACAAAAATGGTAATGGTAGGACGTGAGTCCAGGCATTTGACCCTCAGTACGGGATAATCTGTGTATTCCTTCAAGTACTGTAAACTAAAAATGTACATTGAGAGACTCAAGTTCCCATGTCAAGGAGAACAAGAAGACTTTAGAGCTTTCTCTACCGAGTGTGAGTGTGGCATCATCTGGGCTCTGGGCCCAGTCTCCATGTTTGGACAGTACAGTTTCCATCTTTTCCAAGAATTATCACCTGGCTGCTTATTTGCCTCTCACACCTCTTCTCTGATACAGGATTTAAAGGACAAATCTACTTCAAAATTTTCTGTCCCATCTATGGCCCCATGACTCTAGGAATGAAATCCAGGTTCCTTAGTGTGCCAAATACTGCCCCCTTCCTGGACATATAGGCTCCTGGTAATGACTCCAGTCCCAACTCCCTTCATGCACCTTCTCATATTTTATAAACCAAGTGACTTGTGTTTCCTCTAACTCAATCTACTTTCTGTTCTCCCATGACACAGTTTGTAGTTCTCTGTCCAGAACTTCCTTCTCTGTTTATACTCGCCATTCTTATTTTTTGCACGTTTGGTTTAGACTAGTGCCTTCCTGAAAACCACTAACATATTTACCCTCAGGCTAATATGCCCTGTCCCTATGGGCATTCCTTTGTTGTCGCATTTTGTCCTACAATTAAAATTATAAGTCTATATGCCTGGTTTTAACCATAAACTCAGGTTCTCCAGGTGGGGTCATGCTCACTGTATCTCTTCAGTCCTAATGCCTACATTGAAAGTACTCCATACCTTTAAAGTGAGAATTTCAAAAGTCCGGGGTCCTAGTCTCTGCTGACATACCGGATTACCTCATCTGGTCTTGTGAGTTTCCTCTTAGCAGTGTTTTCTCTGTAGCCCGGGCTTCTTTCTCAAGGTTAAATTCATACAGCCAACCTTTCTTAAGGACATTGCAAGCTCAGTTCAGTTGGACTTCCAGCTGCTCCAGAACCAACTTCTCTGTAATTTCTCATCACTGTTGGTGGCAACTCCATTTTTCCAGAGGTTCAGGTAAGAGCTAGCTTCAGGGTCATCCTGGGTTCCTTTCCTTTAACTCCATGTATTAAAAAGTGTTCTTGGCTCTATCTTTATGACATATTGAGAACCCAGACATTTCCTTATAGACCCCTGTGCTGGTTTTAGCCAGAGTTATTATTGTTTCATCCAGGTTACCATATCCTTGGCTTTACCTTGCCTCTTTAGGTCCCATTCTCAACACAGTAGCTAGAATGAGTCTTTGAACATAAAATCAGACCATTTGCACCTGTAGTCCTCCAAGCTCTGCAGTAAACTTACAGTTTATTCAGAGTAAAAACCAAACTCTTTATACCAGTTTGTAATGGACCAAAGCAGCAGGTCCCTCCTTACTTTTCCAATCTGATGACCTAGCACATGTGCACTATATCTTGACCAGCTTTCTTTTTTCCTTGTACACGCCTTGCTGTGGAAATCCCTTCCTCCAAATTGTAAGGACAATCCTCTTACCTTAATTAATATTGGGCCTGCTTGCATGCCTTAGCCCTGGATTATACCTCCTCCTTCCTTGCTCTACTCTCTCTTTTTCTAACAGACCATATCACTCGAAGATTAGTAGCTTATGTCCTCTTCTAGAATCTGGCACGTGGTCCTCCTATGAAGAATGGAGTCTGAGTCCCCTCTGCACTAGAAGAAGAGAGGCCTTTTCTTTGCTCATATCCAACACAATGTGACATCAAAGTCTAGGTCACCAACTTTATACAGTTTTTACCTTGTTAGGTAGGAGGCTCACCTTTGGAGCTTTGAGATACCATATACAGAAGTTCATACTGGGAGGTGGTGGTACACACCTTTAAATCAAGTACTCAGGAGTCAGAGTCAGGCAGATCTATGTGTTCAAGGACAGCCTAGTCTACAGAGTGAGTTCCAGGACAGTCAAGGCTACACAGAGAAACCCGTCTCAACAAACAAACAAACAAACAAAAACAAAATCAAAACCAGCCAACCAAATAAAACCAACCAAACAAACACAAGCCCAGCTGCTTTGGAAGTTATTCCTCCATTTTGCCAGAAATATCAGGCTACCTGAAGGCTGTTTGGAGGAATCCTAGTGAGAATCTCCACTGAGACCTCAGATGACATCTGCATCCGTTATTAGACATCAGACTAAAGACACCGTAGATGACAGCAGCCCCTAACCATGGAGCCTGTACTGCAAAGAAGAGATCAACTGTACCTCTTGTTCACTGTTCAAATTCCTAACCCATAGAACCGATTATTGCGATAAATCAATAGTTTTCTGTTGCTCTTAATTGAAGCAGTTTGTTTTTCAGCCTATGCCTATTTTCTATCTCCCCTGCTAGAATAGAAGCTCCATGAGGGCATGGGTTTGCTTCTCTCACAGTCGTATCCTAAATGTCTAGACTAGCCCTTGGTAAGAACGAATACTCGGGAAATATTTACTGAACAATCCTGGGAATGACTGTATAGCTAAGTTGGATTTTAGAAGGTGCAGTTTGCTAAAGCTGAGGGTCCCTTAGATGTCAGCTCATCAAATCCACACGCTGGCATGAAAAAAAAAATGAAAGCAGAGCAGAATAGGGAGGTGACAGGCAAGGACAACACATAGCAGCCTGTGTGACAGCAGAACTGGAGGCTCAGGGTTTTATGTCTACACTCAGTCTTCAAGCAGATCTGTAATGCATGTTCAAGATGAAAATTCTAGAAGCCTTTATGATAAAAGAAAAACACAGCAGTGTTTCTAAGGAACTGGACTGCCACATCCTACAAAGTAGCATATTTCAATTGACAATGCTTTCCAATTAACTCCAGGTTAATCATACAATGCTTTGAACCAGAAGCAAGGCACACTAGCTCACTGATTAATACAATTAGAACTAACGAGGGTAAGGGTGGCCTTACTAGTGAGATTTCTGGGTGAGGCTCCAATGATGGAATGACATGTATTCTTGGCTGTAAATTAAGTTTGTTTCCGTGCTAGAAAGTCTGGGAGAGGCTAACAGGTATAAAGAGGAATTAAACAAAACTAAAGGACAAACAACTGATCATTTGGAATGGACGGTTTATAAGATAATATGTTAGAAAGGAATGTACCAAAACAGTCAATGCATCTGTATTTCTGATCTTGAATTTTGGATTGAAAGTTCATAGAACAGGTTAAGTACATCTGACCATTTGTACACCTTTCTGATAAACTACATACCTCTCTGGATGCTATTTGAAACTTCAAGACAACTTATAATAACTGGGGGTTCGTCAAACTCCAATAATATTGGGTATGGCTTTACAAACAACGTACCCTGTGCTGAGGCGTTTGCTCAGCAAACGGATCTGTATCCATGTGCATCAGTGCAGACTCAAGGTTTGGGACCATTCATCCTTTTAGGAAATGAGACCCAGAGACGATGAGAGCATTACCTGTAACTCTTGTTCCAACAGTCTTCCAAAACTGGTAGTCTTGTAACTAGCCTGGCAGGAGAGGAAATATTTGAAAGAAAGATTTGTACCCTCCTGTTTGCTATGGGACTCCTGAAATGATGGGCCCCAATGAATCCCAGGCTGGGGAAAGGGAAAGGCTGGATCAGCTTTGGTGCCAGCCAGAGGAGAAGCTTGCCTCTTGGAAAGATACATCACAACTCTGACAAATGTGTGATGGACACATGCATATCTCCTGGCTTCTGTTTCATCTTTTCTAAAAAAGGGCAACAATTCTATAGAAAAGGCCTCAACCAACCTACGGTCTTTCTCTTCATGGTTTGGCGAAGTGTAAGCAAATCCATTTTCCTCTATCAATCTGTGTCTTAACACATTTTTTAAAGGAAGATTTTAAAAAAAAAACAAAAAACCTCAGAGACTCTTGTAATAGACTGAGAACACATAGAGAAACGGTATTTGACTTAGACTGTATTTGAAATGAACTGCTGCTTCTCCTGAGCTGGTAATTTCATCCACTGGCATGAATGCTTTTGTTCTCAAAGTATGTCAAACACACCCCTCTCCACTGTTTCATATTCCCACAAAGTTTTAGGAGCACATTGGTCCATAAGGCACACTCTTCAACTAATGAAGAATTGAAAAACCGAGATAGCAAAATTATGTGCCAAGATCACACAGTTTACCGCACTGGACCCTGGCTATCCCAAGTTTAGCATGATTTCCTGCCTTCCCATGACTTCAGAAATACTATGTGTAAGCGTGTTCTAAGGGTATAGTCTGAGGGTAAACAGTCTGAGCTGGGGTGAGACAAGGAGCCGTCACTGCACACAGTGGAACTATACAGAACACATTTGGGTCATTGCCGCATGTGACAGAAAGAAGAAAACAAAGAGGGAGAGAGGGGAAGAGGGAAGGAGGGAGTGATGCCCACTGGGTATCATTTAGCACCTGCCACACAGAAGATGCTGAAGAGATGCTGGCCAAGGAAGAAAGAGGGAGAGGAAGGGAAACAAAACAGGAAGATGACTGTAACTGGGCTCCACTGTCACTAAGAGAACTTCTTTTTTGGGGGGAGGAAGGGCGAGCTGCTCTTTGGTCTAGGAAAATATTTTAATGGATTTTTTTCCTTTATGCTTTTCCTTTGTAAAAGGTGAGATCCAGTAGGTAAGATTCAAAACAAAAAAGAGTTAGACAAAGACAGCAGGAAGAGAAGAAATTGTTTTATATAACAGAGCAAAGGGAACATGGGAGTCGTTTCCTAGGTGCTGAGGGTGTCGCTTGAAGACATTAAAGAAGACCCAGGACAGAGGAGAAGACAGAGAGACTTGTGAGAAACTAGAACCTTAATAATGGCCTGGCTAGCATGCTTCATAGTTAGGAATCTACACGATAATAGTGTCGGTTTCAGGCACTTGCCATACTTTGCTAGGGTTGCCTGTCACCCCCTGAGCTCCTGAAATAGCTACAGCATGCATTCCTATCTTTCGTAGTAGAGGTGCTTTGGGAGTGAGGGGCTTGTAGGGGTTCAGGGATGACCAGTGCAGGAGGGAGGAGGAGGTAGAGAGAGCGAGCACAGCAGCCGTGCGCTGCGTGGCCTTTGTGGAGCACGGTGAGAAGAGCGTAGAAGCAGGAACACGGGGCAAGTGGTGAGCAGGAAAAAGCAGGCACGCCAGGCACTACAATGGGCTGGCTATTCCATAGCGCATGGCAAGAGGGCTTGAGCCATTCTACCTTCAGAGTGAAGAACGGTTGTCTCTAAAATGGGGGGATTGGAAAAGGCTATTTCTTAAGTTCAATGTCTAGGTTCTAGTTTAAACCTAGTTCTGATTAAGTGGGCCTGCTGGAGCATTCCCACCATGCTCCCGGGCATTGTTACTGCTTATGGTCAGAGGTCAGAGGCAAAGCTCTAGCGCTCCAGATACTCACAGGCTAGTCTCTTACCTCGTATTCCTCCTTGAAGCCATAGCCCTGGCCTCGCTTCATCTGAGTGATGTGTTGGAGCAGGTCGGCTACTCGGATGGCAGGCTGGAACTGGTCCCGGGGGTAGCTCATCTCCACAGGGTCGCAGGTCCGGTAGGGGTGAGTCTGAATGGTGAGGGTAGGCTGGGACAGCTCCCCACGGCTGCCGTCTGCTTCAAAGAGAAAGAAGCAGGACAAACTCTAACTTTGGGAGTTTTGTTCTTTGCACCCCACCCCCACCCCCAGTTATCCAAGTGGGGAAACAGGAAGATCAGAAGTTCAGTTATCCTCAACTAAATAGTAAATTTGAGGACAGACTTGACCACATGAGACTCTCTCTCTCTCTCTCTCTCTCT